GGCTAGCCAGTACTCTTCTTCCTCGACACACAGTCCTCCATCCTCTCCTGGCTCTCCTTTTCACAAGGCTGATTAACTCTCATGACCAACTCATGACCCCAACCACAGAACACCCTGCATGGCTGCTCCACCATCCTAAGCCTTTCTTTTCCACTTAAGAAAGGCTTAGAAAAATAGCTCCGCGCTAGACTGTCATTTGCTGGAGCTGCCAGGCTTGCCTTGCAAGAGTCAAGATGCTGTGTTTTCTCTCTTCCCGAGGACTCACAGAAACATTACTGCCAAGACCTCAGGAAGACCTTGATCTGACCGTTATGGCCTGTGTCTTCTATTTGCCTTCAAGAGTTCTGGGTTTTAGAGAATGGATTTCCCAGACTCTTGAGAACACAGCTTTGATAAAAGAAAAGGTGGCTTGGCTTCAGTAATCTAGGCTGAAGTTTCCCTATTACTGACAACATATGTATAAGAAGGCCTCCCCATCCATTCAGTTCTGTGATACGAGAGAGGGAGCTTGTTCCACTGTGGCATTCTTTGGTCAAGATGCAAGAGGACATGGAAATGTTCATCTGTAGTGGCCATTCCACCTCCACAGAGCACACAGATCCCTGGGTTCCACACAGTATCTCTTGGCCCCACGCAATATATCAGGTAAACTGACATTGGTTATAGATGGAGGAACAGCTCTGACCATAGAAAATTTGAATGAGAAGATCCATTTTTCTTCTGTCACATCTGTAGAAGTAACCATCAAAACAGGAGAGAACATCAGATAGATGTATATCCTACCTGGTACATCAGTAATCTATTAGGTCTAGCCTAGAGGCTAACCTCATTAGTTAAATATAAATAAAAAGTCATTTTTATTCATCAGTGGGATGAGCATCCTCAAAAGAGCAGAACAGGGTAGAATTCTCATTTACATTTCCCTGCCGTGCAGAGTGTGGAGGAATAGAAATTCAGCACATAGCACCCTTCAGAATTTGACTTGACTGGTTTCCTTCAGTGAAATGCCAGCATGAGTCTCCCAGTCTGATCTCACGCGTGGAGAGCTGGGCAGCCACTCTATCACTGATTTACCTCCTAGAGAACGTGGACAAGAATTTCATAGACTCCCAAACCTGGGGATCACTTGGGGTCCAGACGTACAATCCCCAAATTGATCTGAGCCTTCTATTGTGATTTCACTGTTATAGTTAGGGGATATACAGTATATCCTTAGACAAATAAAAGCTCTTTTTAAAGTAGGACAAAACTGAGCTGGGTCTCAACTCTTTTTGTTTGAGAGTCATTGGAATGATATTTTCATAACCACGTGCCTTTTCTCCCCTAATGAAATCCTCACCTTCAGCTGAGGAGTGTTGGCATTCAACAAGGTTATTCTAAAACAATCCTTTTCATGGCTCTGTGCTCAGTGGAGATGGTGTTTAATCCTGGTCTGTGCCTTTCTACAGGACTGCAGTTTTCAAGGTATCAGTCTTACCTAGATTGCAAAGATCTGTCAGGAAAAGTATAGGATGGTGATTCTGCAGACTTGTGTTTTGGGACATTGTCTCCATTTCAGTGGTGATTTTGGTAGAATGAACAAGAGGGGAAGGTGCTCTGTTACTCTCAAGTAGCGATTTGGGGCAAGAGAGGTGCTTTGTGCCAGGCACACTGTCCTACGGGGCAGCGTGCCTGCTGGGAGAGGGTGTGTCCTTCAGGCTGCTGTAGGAGGAAGAAAGTACCAGGAAACAACATTGTTGGTACTCAAACAGTGCTTCTAGATTTTAAAGTGTATTTTATTTATCAAGAAAATATTTGAGCTTCTTACAAAAATTGTTATGGTTGAAATAAAAGCCCACCTTGACCAAACCTCCCATCCCCAGCTTTCCATAGCCCAGACACTTCCTCAGGAGAGAGCACTATTATAGTTGCTATGTAGCCTTCCAGACACTGGGTCAGTTTATTTTCATTCATATGTCATACATGCGTGGAGCCCCACAGTATTTTTTTCTAATGTCACTTTGTATGATTCTTTGGATCTTGCTATTTTCACTATCCAGTATGTCTTATATTCATGTTTTGGAACGTCACAAACTATCCATAATGTGGATGAACCATTGTTTATTTTGTACTGCTTTATTTTTTTTTAAGATTTTATTTATTTATTTGACAGAGATCACAAGTAGACAGAGAGGCAGGCAGAGAAAGGGGGGTGAAGCAGGCCCCCCACCAAGCAGAGAGCCTGATGCAGGGCTTCATCCCAGGACCCTGAGATCATGACCTGAGCTGAAGACAGAGACTTAACCCACTGTGCTACCTAGGTGTCCCAGCCACTCCTTTATTAATGGACACTTAGGTTCAGACAGCGTTTTCAAACCTTATTTTAAGTGAATTTTCATACAATCCCAATATATAAATTTTTATATATTATCCTCAATTAATTATATATATCTTCAATTAAGCCGTAACAGAAAACTTACTAATTTAGTACGTAGTCACTTAGGCAAAATACCGTTTATGCCTTGTTCTTACACTTTGTGCCTCGGTTCCTTTATCTGCAAAATGGAATCAAAATAGTACTCCTCTCACAGGCTTATGGGAAATATTAAAAGAGTTAAGGCATGTAAAGTGCTCGAAATGGTACCTGGCGATGTCGAGCACTACATAGGAGCTTGCTGTGTATCTCCACATTGGATTGGTCTCCGATGAATTTCTTGTGCCTTTGGCCCAGACGATCCATTAACCTTTCACCTATTTAGAGGACATCCCAAGAAAGCAATGAGTTCTGCTGGGCTCCGTTTACTGTGAGGTTAGCATCATAGATGTTGGATGTCTACGCCACTGCATAGAGTCTCTCTCTGAAAACTTTGAAGTCTGTCCTTTCTGTAGGACTAGTTACATTTCTCCTAGGCCATCATTTTGACTTTATTCACTGTATTGATCTGGGCATCTTGTAACTCACTGTGCTTTGCTTTTTCCTCTGGCTGCTAGAGTAGATCCAGATTTTTTTTTTTAAACTACGGTCTAGCATCTGTTAGAGACCCTAATGGCATGCATTTGTGTATTAACTGAGCTTACGATATCAACTTGATTTGGGGTCAATTAGTAAAAATAGCTGTGTCTCTGGGTGACTGTACGGGTAGACCTGTAACATGAGGGACGTACTGGGTGCCATTTGCCTGAGGCACAGCGATGTGGTGACTTGCTGGAGTCTTGTGCCAGGAGTCTTCCCTTTGGGCTTCTCTCCGTGACTACCCATGGAAAAGTGGCAGCCAGCAGTGCTGGGCGGCCCCTTACACGTGCTGACTGTGGTCCTGGGGCCCGGACAGGCACGGCTTCCCCTGGGGGCCTGGGTCCTTTTTTCATCACCGTGTTAGTTGTTCCACAAGGAAGCTCTTGACCTGCTGTTAGCAATTATTTTCCTCTCCTTTGAGGGTCTGAGAAAACATGGGTGATAATTACATCCTCGCTTACTCATCTGAGTTTGACTGAGTGAGGAGCAGAATTAATGTCACAACAATAAACTGCCATCCTCACAAAGAAGTCATTTGTGATTGTGAAGGCCCTTTGTCTATGGTATGAAAGAGTTTCCATAACAATGAACAAGATGCAGACTAGAGAGTGGCTGGAGCCCAGGGCAGTGAGCACTGTGGCCTGGCACAGCCGCCCTGGGAACTGGCCCCCGGGCCCGCCCTCCCCCTGCACCTCCAGCAGCCCGTGATTCTCTATCAAGTGACGTGCCAGGCCTTGAATGTGGTGCCTATTTCTTAGTCCCTGTTTCTGTCTCAGGACTAGGACGGGCTCTGCCCCTGCCCTTACCTGGTGTGCACTGGGGAAGGGGTGGGACAAGGGAAGGAAGGAGTGCCCTTGGCAAGCCCATTCTGAAGGTCGATATGTAGGGAAATGGACTCAGAAGGGGGCCACCTCCAGGCCTCTGTGCCTGGGTTCTTCTCCGACCCACTCCTTTGCACAACCATGATTTGCCTTTGGAATGGAGGATACTGCCTCATAAACCTCAGAGCATTTACTCCTCTGGACCAGCCCAGATTATGACGATTGTCACTTACCCATTTAGCAATAAGACCTGCTTTTTCAGGTTGCCAAACCCCTGAATGGCCTACTCTGGGCCTCTGGGTTTCGGCCTTCCATTAAGCATGGAGGGAGTGTGGATGGCATTAGGCCAATTCAGGACCATTGGCAGCCACCTCTTTCCCTCCTCCCTGCCTGCAACCAGGTCAGACACACCCAAAAAATGCCTGCAGCCTCCCGTCTCTTGCTCAGAGCATTTTATAAATCCTGCTCCGCCCCCCACCCCCCCGCCCCACCATCTGCCAGTTCACAGCTTCTCCCGCTCATCTGTTTTCCAGCTTCTGGATATTTCGTTTCCTGTTAGCTCTTTGAGGTCCCTCTGACTGTCACTTGGGTTCTTCTCGGATATTTTCACCTTTTCCTGCAGTGTTGGAGCTGAGACAAGCAAACACACTGCATGCCTTGCCGCTGGGTCCCCCATCCTCCATGTTCCCCACAGTGCTCCAGATGGGCCTCCGTGCTGTGAGCAGAGCCTCGGCTCTGGAGAACGCTGGCGTGGGACTAAGTCAGGAGAGACCAAGATCTGTGCGGGACTGGTTCCCACATAGTTCCTTGGCGATTGTACCAGTTCCTGGGCCTCCTCGAAGAGTAGACTCCTCGCCTTTGGGGCCTCTGGCGGACTGGGCCTCCTCCTCCACCAGACGCAACCCGACATGCCCAGTCAAGTGCAGCACCACTGGGTCTGGAGTTCCATCGAGGCCTTCCTGGCCAAGGGTGAGGTCATCCAGGGGCTGGTGTGGCCAGCGTTCAAGGCACACCTATCAGTGGTCCTCCTTATAGTAGTTTTGAAATCCTGTGGTTTCCTGTTTAGGTGGGTGGTTTTGCACATGTAACCAGCGAAACTGTCCTCACAAATTGCATACTTCATTTGGAAACTGGGAAGATGTTTTTCCAGCCTTTTAAGTACATAGTTTTTTTTTCCCCCCTTTTAGTCCCAGGTAAATCACCAAGGTGCTGCTAATAATGAAACGTACCAGGAACGTTTGGCACGTCTAGAAGGAGATAAGGAGTCCCTCATTTTACAGGTGGGTCCGCTTTCGTGGGAAACAGCTTTTCTTGTTACCTCCAGCTCTGTACATACCCTGAGTGGGAGGGAGGCACAAGAGGTTTTTTCTGTTGGATCTATTCTCTTTGAAAGTGTGTGTTTTAAAAAGACTCTTCCTGAAACAAAGCAGAAGGTAACTGAAGCCACAGCTCAGCTGGAGTTGGCCTTCGGGCTGTGAATGCATTCATTTATTCATCTTGTACTGTTTGAGCACCCACTTCTTCTATACACTGGGAGCTCTGTGGCCAGGCTGATGAATGAGGCCCTGTCCTTTAGGAGCCTAGAAGCCTTGTAAGGGAGATAAGATGTGTCTTCCTGGCTCTAATAAACCAGCCATGAGTGATACGGACATAGGGTGGATGCTAACTGGATCAGACCCAAATCATCTGGAGCTGGATGCAGACTGATCCCTTTGAGGCCAAGTCCCCTGGGGCTAGTAACATGGGCTCATGAGTCTTTGAAGACTTTCTTGCTTCAAAGAGAGGAACTCCAAAACTTTTTATGGAGAAAGATAGTCAAGGAACATTTTCTGTTCTGAAGACTCAGGTTCTCTGGCAGGACAGAACATTGAGCCTTCTTACGTGAGGTATGTCTCTGTGGTAGCGGTTCTCCACGTCTTAGCTCTCAGATGTGTAAATCTAGCATTTGTTCACTGTCAGACACTGTGATTATTGATTTGGAGAATAAGAAGATGACTGTTCCAATCTTCACTCATTAAAAAGCTTTTAAAGGGTAGTAGAGAAACAGGACAGGGGGCAGGTAGGGTTCTGGAACCCTCCGCAGGCTGTGGGCTTTAGCTTAGAGCACTGGAATGAAGAGGCTACCATATGTTTGGCTTTTTTCCTTCTATTTCACCTTTCTACTTCGTTTTATGAATCTAAGAGTAATAAATGATTATTTTAGGAACTTTGGAAAGTCAAAAAGAGTTTTAACATTTTGACCTTTCTTCCTTGACATTTTTTTCCTGTCCTGCCCCATTTTTAAAAAATTAAGCTCATACCAAATATACAATTACATAATTTTGCATTTTGGGGGATTTTTTTCTCCATAATTTGTTCATTAAAAAAGATTTGAGTACTCACCCCTTGGCAGACACGGGTTTTAGGTGCTAGGGTTGCAGTGGAGACAAAAATAAACCAGCTCCCTGTTCTTACAGAGCTTGTGTGTCTGTGTCTGTGTCTGTGTCTGTGTGTGTCTAGGTACATGTGTATGGGTTCAAGTATATACAATAAACCAATACGTAAAATGTTTCTGGCAGTGATAAATACTATGGAGAAAAAGAAAGTAAGGTGAGGATTGTGTAGTCAGAGGAGACCTCCCTGAAAGGGGGAGTCCTGAAGGAGGCTAGGGAGGGAGCCCTGCAGATGCCTGGAGAAGCACATTCCAGACAGAGGAGGTAGTCTGTCCAGCGCACACCCTGAGCGAGGACAGTGCTTGGTGTGTAGGAAGGAGCAAGTGAGGGTCTTTGTGGCTGGAGTTTATGACCATGAAGAAGTCTGGTAGGGATCTGCCTTCAGAGAGGTAGGAGGGGCTGGGTTATATGGCACCTTATATCGCATGTATCTTGAGGGATGTGTATAACTTGAAAGTCCATCCCAATGACATGATTAATCAGAGTGTCCGGTTTAAATTTTTACAGCAAACAGGGTGATCTCGCAGACTTTTAAAACGGGAACCTTCATGGCGAAACTAACATGTTCCTTTTTAAAGGAATTTAATTTAATAAAGGAGTCCTGTGTGATAATGTTCTCTTTGACATTCACAGTTTTTTGTTTGTTTGTTTGTTTGTTTGTTTTAAAACATCCTGACTCCTTAGATAATCCTTATTGCAACAGTCCTAACACAATTGGGAACCTGCTAATCATGGAAGTCAGAGGTGGATCCTTGTGGTTTCTGTTCCAGGAGCTTGTGACCAGACTTTCAGAGCTGCTTTTAGGTGATCACTCTGTTTTGTAGTGGGCCTCCATGGAGCTGCTAGGCCCCTCAACTTGGTAGAACCTCTTGCTTCACTTATAAGGCAGCTTAGCCAGAATGAATTAATTGAAGCACTTGGTCCAGAATGTTTTCCTGGGTCTACTCGTAGAGGAGCAAGGCAAATCACACATAACAAAATACTTTGTTTTCAGAGTAAATTAAAAAGGAACCCCAAATCTTCTGTGCTCACTTCAGCAGCATGTGTACTAAAACCAGAATCTTTTCTATCTTCATGAGAATGTAATTTTTTAAGGTAAGGCTTTTCACCCCCTTCCTTTTTTACCACATCTCTATATTCCCTCCAATGCCTAAAATTATGGCTAGCATGTAGTAGGGACTCAAAATGTATTTCCTTTTATTGAGTAAAGGTCACATTCTAGGATCTTTATACATTTTTCCCAATTTTCTGGGCCTCTCCATAGTCCTTCTGAGTATTCAGTTTTGTGAGGACACTGTAGCCCTGTATATCCTGAGTCATGCACAGCCGAGCTCTTCAGGCTATGGAGCGCAGGAGACCTCAGATCATTCCTCCGGGAACCCCAGCACATGACTCTGAGGTTTGGTTCGGACAATATGTGTTAATCCTCATAATCAGATTAACCATCACACATCCCTCCCAAACAGAAACTCTGGAACCCAGGGAGATTTGAAAGGCCACCCCAAAGAATCTGTACCCTTTTGAAGGTAGGGTTGGTAGTTTAAAAAGGCCAGGACTGCTGATAGTGTTGGGTCACGAGGATTGAACACTCCACCACAAAGGTTTGTGTTTCACATGGGCCCAAAATGACAGAAGGTGCCTGTTTTGGGGACTGTACCTGGAATATTAGCACACTACTTACCAACTTCAGGAATATGTTCCAGTCATTCTTTAATCATGTGGGAATATGAAAAAGAAAGGCTTAAAGTGGCATTAGTAGATTTCTTCCCTGTAAAGTGAGCTTTATGATTGATAGTCTGTTCAAACAGAAGTGAGTAACTCCTTCACACTCCAGCTATCATTACAGACTGAGAAATCGCTTAGGATAATCTATATGTAAATGGCCACGACTCCACCACTGGTTAAAAACCCGAAGTGTGGAAAGGATCTCAGTTTACCGGTCATTGATTTCTCTGTTTGGGGAGGCCACTCATTCTCTTTCTTCATCTTCCTGCTCTGAGGCGCCTTTTTAATAAAAAGGAGGATCCTGGAGCAGTTTGCTGAGAGCAAGCTATGGAAATCCTCTAGGTATGTATTGAGGGCATAACTTCAGTGACTGATAAAAGTGGATTTTTACTAATTCCAATAGATATTCTGTGTGATTTTTTAGGTGGAGGACTTTCCTGCCGCTGTATGTGCCGTGGGGCTGGTGTGTGTTATGACTTAGAGTCAGGTTTTGGCCTGTGAGGCACAAACACCTCCCCGGAGCCAAGTTCTGTCAGTGCTAATACATGCCCTTTACATCCCACATTCCTTAATTGCTTCAGAAGCCCCGCCTGGTAGCTGAGCAGTCATCACACCCAGAAGAGAGAGGGAAGGTCATTGGCTAGTCTCCCCAGGAGCTTGGCTTGCCCTTCCACGCGAGGTGGCAGGAGCCCTGGCAAGCCAGCCGAGATATGCCTGGAGGTCCAGACTGAGTGAGCTCGGTGAGCCGGCTGAGGAGCAGGAGGCCAGCCCGGAGGCAGCGCGCGTGACCGTGACCGCCGGGTGTTTCTCTCTCGAGTGCCTCAAGAGCAGGGAAACGCGGCAGCGTCAGTGAGGCAGTGGCGAGGTAGGAAGGCAGCTGGAGTTTTCTTCATCCAGAACCCTCACTCCTCCACCCGTGACGCGCCGCCTGCCAAAAAGGAAAGCCATCTTTACGTAAGGATCGGCAGCCTGGTCTCACAGCCCCAGGTGAGCCGTCTCTGCTCCTCCAGCATTGCTTTATTTCTTGGGACAGGTGAGTGTCCTCACAGACCAAGTGGAAGCCCAAGGAGAGAAGATCCGGGACCTGGAAGTGTGTCTGGAAGGACACCAGGTGAAACTCAATGCTGCTGAAGAGATGCTTCAGCAGGTAAGGGGGCGGGGCGCGGAGGGCGGGGGCGCATGCGCGTGCGCAAGCCTCAGGTTCTAAAGCAGCTCCTGTGGTAAAGTCCCTTTCTGTGTCCAGGTCACCTCGCTCACTGCTTACTTCCCCATCCTGCCCGGAGGTGGGCTGGGCTGGGCTGCTCCATGTGCGGTGTTTATACAGCAGGTGAAACCAGCCAGGAACTGAGAGTTGCAGGGGAGGAGAGGGAGGGAAGGACTGGCCTGAGAGGAATAACCTGTTGGGCAGGTTAGACAGATTCCCAGGTGGCACTTTCTCCCAGGGTTGGGGTTCAGGGGCAAAGTCACCCTTCTCTTCTCAAGGCACAGCTTCACAGTGGGTGACATCTGAGATTTTAGAAAGGCAGTTCGCTTCTTTCTTTTTCTTTTTCTTTTTTTTTTCTTTTAAGGTTTTATTTATTGGAGAGAGGGAGATAGCGAGAGAGAGCACAAGCAGAAGGCAGGGAGAGGGAGAAGTGGGCTTCCTGCTGAGCAGAAGGATGTAGGGCTGGATCCCAGGCCCTTTGGGACCGTGATGACCTGAGCCTAAGGCAGATGCCTAGTCAACTGAGCCACCCAGCCCCCCCGCCCCGTTAGCTTTTCTCCTGCTTCTTCCCATTTCACTCTTGCCCTCCCACTCTGTGTAATCTTTTTTGATAGGACTTAATTCATAAAGAATATGTTAATGTTATCTAATGGTTATCAAAATGAAAAATTGACCTGTTCTCATACCATTCAAATAAATCTCTTCAGTGCCTTGTTTCCTTTTGGTCCTTGTTGTCATCAGATGTGCGTATAATTTACAAAGCCCTGTTCACACCACAGGTAGAGTTTAGTCCTCTGATTTTGTTAGGCTTCCAATCAGCGTGAAGTTTTTTCCATTTTTAAATCTTGCTGTATTATTTTCTTTACTATCACTTAGAAGCTTTTTTTTAGCTCAAAGTATGATAATCGTTTTTCTACTTTCAAGTAGTTTTACCCTATTTAAAATGATGAGTTGCTGTTTTTAGGAAGGGGTGTTGAATTTTTATTCAGTCTTTTCAGAAACTGTTGAGAAGCTAATTAGAAATTTTGTGAGAGTTATCAAGGTGATCAGTCTGATGTCCTTGAATCATTCTTGCATTTTCAGTTATTTTGGGAAATGGACACATAAACTTCAGTCATGGTTTATGCTTTGTAACTCCTGCTGTAGTACTTGGCACATAGAAGTGCTCATTAATTATTTAAAGAATGACAGTCCCTTAACATGAACGGGTTCAGTCGGATAACTGCTTTCAATCTTTCCTCCAAAGCTCTTAACATTTTTTATTGTCACGATCAGCGTTCAAGTCTTTTCTTGGTTGAATGATAATGAACACAAGATTTGAGTTTGACATTTGGTCTTAGAATAAATGTTTTGGTTCCCATGTATTTCTTAGTTTTGAGTGCATTTGAAGAACTTTTTAAGAAAAGTTAGTATTTCTATGCAGATGTCTTAAAAAAAAAAAAAAAAAAAAACTAGTTCCAACAACTCAGAAGCTGTTTGCTCTCTAGTTTGCTTTCTTTTCAACTCTGATTAATAAGTTACCACATTCTTGGCTCTGTTTGATTTTTCTTTTTTTTTAAGATTTTATTTATTTATTTGACATAGAGAGATCACAACTAGGCAGAGAGGCAGGCAGAGAGAGAGGGGGAAGCAGGCTCCCCACTGAACAGAGAGCCTGGGGCTCAACCCCAAAACCCTGAGATCATGACCTGAGCCAAAGGCAAAGGCTTAACCCTCTGAGCCACCCAGCCGCCCCCTGATTTTTCTATTTAAATTGCATGCATTTCTCTTGCTCATCCTTCCCTGAAAATCTCAATCTCAGTAGGAGTTGAATTGAGTTTATTTTTTCAAGCAGTATCTTTCTTTTGAAGGCCAGGAAAGAAAATAGCCTGATGGAAAGATCTCTAATGGTGGGAAAGCATTTTCACAAAGAGTGATGGGAGAGCCTGCTAGATTGTCAAGGCCGTGCAAGCTGTGGATTTGAGATGGGGATGAGGGAGATGGGTGATAAAGTGTTACAGAACCCCAGGCAGAGACCAAGAAGATTTGAATGTGGAAGGCAAACGTGCCAGGAAGATGTCAGAAGGTTGATGTTTCAGGAAGGCAGTGCCTGGTGGGTAGCCACATAGTCAGGGGTCAGAGAATGGCTGCGTGTGGTGCCTGTACTACCTGACCACCCGTCCTGGCTGCTCTTCAAGATTCTGCCCCCCTGTCAGAGTCTCTGTGCCAGGGTACCTGATGTTAGTCCCAGCACCGCCTGGGCAGGCTGTCTTGTCCTTCTAAGCATCAGCTCACAGACTGGATTTTAGACTTTTGAAAAAGTCTTAAGCTCAGATACCTTTGATTTCTTATTTATTCTAAATCTTTTTTGTGTTATGAGTGAGGTTCCAGGCATGGGGTTTGTGTGTGCCAGAGCTGGATGATGTGGCCCGGTAGATTTTGAAGTGCAGTAGGTCTTATTTGTCACCTCTCAGGTTTAAAGATCTTCCTGAACTAACCAAAGTTATTATTATTTTTTAAATTTTATTTATTTACTTGAGAGAGAGAGAGCACGCGTATGCACACACAAGCAGGGGGGAGGGGCAGAGGGAGAAGGAGAAGCAGACTCCCCACTGAGTAGAGAGCCCCTATATGGGGCTCAATCCCAGGACCATGGGATCATGACCTGAGCTGAAGGCAGACGCTTAGCTAACTGAGCCACCCAGGCACCCCTAAACCAAGTTATTTTTATGCTCATCACTTTCCCTGTGTTCTTTCCATCTTTCAAGGATAAAATGAAGGGAGTGTGGAACACTCACTTTTGGCACATTCTGGGTTCTGGTCATAGGACCCATTTGAGCCTCAGCTCCCACTCATGTGTCTGCTGGGCTTGGTGGCACCTGGGCTGGAGATGTTTGAGTTCTTCACTCCAAATCCCCTGTTGAACATTCTGCTGCACATGCTGACCCTTTCCTGAGATACGCTTGGTGCTCTTTGAAAAGGCACCTAACTCTCCACAGTGCTGAGGCAGAGCTGTGGATGGCTGGGACCCCATTACACACGTGTCCTGGGAACTAGGGGTGGGCAGATCCTGGACTGCAGGGCTCTTGGCTTCTGGTGATAGGAACAGAAAGGACTCCCAGCCCTGAGGCAGAGAAGGGAGGCAAACAGTTGCCTCTTTTTGCCAGCCCTCAGAGACTGTTCCTGCCCTGAGCCAAGCCCAGCCTCTTGCTCCACGGCCCAAAGGGCTCTGAACAAGGTCCTTTCTCAGTCAGTGAGGAGCCTTCTGAACTGCCTATTGACACTGACACCCTTGGGGACTCTGTTCCTGGTCACACTTCTCCAGTGCACGGAGTGGCCTTGTCTGCCAGAGGCAGCCGCTACTTGCTTGGAGCTGACTGCCCATGTAGGCCTAGTGCTGTTAGATACTCTCATTTTTCACAAAAGGCTGGGAATCTAGATTTTTTTAAGATTTTATTTATTTATTTGTCAGAGAGAGAGAGAGAGAGCGCGCATGCGCACAAGCAGATAGAGGGGCAGGCAGAGGCAGAGAGAGAAGTAGACTCCACGATGAGCAAGGAGCCTGATGCAAGACTCAGTTGCTCGCAGGATCCTGGGATCATGACTTGAACTGAAGGCAGCGGCTTGACCGACTGAGCCACCCAAGCTTCCCTGGAAATCCAGACTTAAAGATAAGTCTTTCTATTTTAAAAACACTGGCAACTAATTTAAATGAGGGGGGAGAATCCTACATGTGAACCACATCCTGCATACCTACAGGCCAAATTGGGCCCACAGACTTCTAATCGGCAACCCCTGCTCTAGACTCCACCCTCTCCACTGGCTAGAGCGCTTGTGGGACTTTCAGAACCCAAACCCAACCACCATAGCCCCAGCCCTGTGCTTACTCACATAGGCTTCAGCAACCCCACAAGCCACATCTCCCCACAGCTGTTTGTTCCCCTCCCTCCAGGAGCCCAAGATCGGAGAGAGTTAGCACCTCATCCAACTTGTAAGCCGCACACTCCTCCACCCACCCCTGCTGGGTGTTGATCTCTCAGTTCCCATCTGTCTTTTTCTATGCATTAATCCATCTGGTCTCCAGAGGGAGGGAGCGTGAAGACCTTGGGGTTAAACAGACCAAACCAGGGCTGGTTCATGTGAGCAGCACTTAGATGATGGACCCATCTGAGGGCAAATCCTTGTCTGCAGCCCTCTGCAAGATTCTGGGTGCAGCTGTGAGCATCTTTGGGGACTGCCTCTTGGAAGCACTTACTCAGGTATGGTCTCAGACTCACTGAACAGGTATGAATTTCCCAGGGAACCTTCTCCATTAGAAAGAGTCATTTTCCAAGAAATCTGTAAATGGGTCTTAGAGAGACCACAGACTGGATTTGTTTTCCCAGGTCTGGGTAGTCTGGGCCTAGGGGCTGACCTTCGCCTTCTCTTTCCTAAGCAGATCAAGGCATTGCCTAGCAGTGTCTCTGAGGGTTGCGCTCTGGGCTTTCCAGAGTTAGCACCCCAGGAACACAGACATGAAGCAGCAGTCTCCTTGTCATAACTAGCTCAGACTAGCAACAAAATCTGTGTTACAGGGCAGGTTCTCCATGGCCTGCTGATGCAGTGAGGTCCCTGGTGGCTTTTTCTAAAGTGGCCTCTAGAGTCCTGCCCAGCACACTCCTCAGCCTCTAACCTTTCTCCAGAGGATGATGACCTTAAGGAAGAAGCTGATGCAATGTAGTGGTTAATAGACTTTACACAGAGCTGGCAGTGAAATGGAGTGCTTTCCAGGGACTAGCCATTTACAGATGTAGTCAGTGTCGAGCAGAAAAGAGGATCAGTGTCAAAAAGGAAACAGGCTAGGGGAGCCATATGGGGAGGAAGAAAGGATGCAAACCTCCTTGTGAGGACACACTCCCGCTTTGGGGTAATGTTAAAGGACACCAGCCTCAATTTCAGTCCTACCACCCGACCTGGAGTCCCAG